GTCAGTTGGTGAGTTGGTCGCTGAGTCAGTTGGTTTGCAAGTCAGTGAGCCAGTTTGTGAGTCCGTCGTCGGGTCAGTCGGGTCAATCAATGACTCAGTTGGTGATTCACTCTGTGAGTTAGTCAATTTGTCGGTGAGACAGTCTTTGAGTTACTTAGTGAGTAAGTCAGTGTGAGTCATTCAGTCAGTCAGTGAGTTGGTAAGTCAGCCAGTTGACAGTCAGTGAGTCACTTGGAGAGTCAGTCAGTGGGCCAGTCAGTTAGTGGGTCAGTGGGCCAGTCAGTTTTATGATGAGTCAGTCGGTTAGTCAGTCAATCAGTCTTCCAGTGAGTCAGTCAGTTTGTCAGTGTCAGTCGATGAGTCAGTGAGTTAGCCGATCATTCAGTCGGTGGGTCAATTAATTCGTCAGTTGGTAAGTCGATCAGTGAGTCAGTTGATGAGTCAGCCGGTGTGTCAGTTTGTGAGTCCGTCGGTGAGTTAGTTGGTGAGTAAGGCGGTGAGTCAGTCAATCAGTCGGTCAATCAGTCAGTGTGTGAGTCAGTTTATGGTTCAGTTAGTCAATGGTTCAGTCAGTCAGTGGATCAGTCAGTGAGTCAGTTCGTGAGTCTGGTGGTCAGTCGGTCGATGAGTCAGTCTGTGAGTCACTCGGCGAGTCGGTCAGTCACTTGGTTAGTCAGTCAGTATGTCAGTCGGTGAGTCAGTAACAGAAATATGTTAAAACTATTAACTTCGTATAAAGTTCTACCGTTTTTTTGATTGTGACTTGAATGATAAACTCAGTGTTGCCAACGTCTGATAAGTAAAACTAGCAAAGCATGATCTCCAGACGATATAAATGAATTTGTTTAATGACGTATTATCGTAATGACGCATTATTGACCCATATCTAATTTCAGCGTTAGGTATAACGCTTTTGAGAATAATTTTTGAAAAATATTCCACTTTCTATCGCTTTCAGAACTCCTACACACACTGTACACAACTTGCGAAAGAAACGCTTCTCGTTTTCTTCATGCATATCGTTAACTGTATCGCATAGCAGATGTTTCCTTTGTGTATCCATCAAGAGGTTAAAGCGGCTGAATCTCTGGGGATTTCCAAGATTTTTTAGGTATTTCTCGGACCATCGTCGGTCGTTGAAACGAAATGAGATCGCTTACGTGAGGTCCAGTTTATATTCGTTTCGAAGCTACAAACATCTCGGCTTCTCAGAAACGGCTGAATGCTGTGAAAATATATTGGTGATGGAATTCCAAAACCGCAGATATTTCGACTTTGGTCGAGGGTAATGAATATTTTTTATCGAGAAAAAAATTTTTGAGTGATTTCTCATTACCAGTATCTAGGAGCAGGGTTGTATTGTATGTTTGCTTGAATTTCACGGTGGTTCATATTACTTTCGAGCAATTTTACTAGTTCGGACTTCCTATGTCTAATATGATTCTGATACGATTCGAAATTTATGAAAGAACAAATAAAATTAGAATTAATAGCTAAACTATCGAGTATATTAGGCAATAAAACGTGAAATAAGAATACAATAAAACAAATGAAATAATCAAGATTCAAAATGAAAATGACTACCAAGTAAAAAGAAATGAAGAAAAATAAAAAATGAAAATAAGCAAAAAATGAAACCGCAAGAAATTATTAAAAAAACAAATCAAGGTACTTTGTTAGTATCCACAATCGTCTTTATTTTGTGAACTCCTTAATGGTGTCAAAGTTGTTTTTGAAGCAGTACACTGTGTGTTCAAATTTTTCATTTTCAATTTTCTCAAAAAATATTTATTTATTCATCAATATAACACACTTGTGCCAGCTTTTTTCCAATCGTAGAAGCAGTTCTTATATATATGCACTTTTTGGTCAAAATTCAGCAATTTTGGAAGGGGCTTTGCTGCCACACTCTTCATGCTCAAAATTCCTGAAAAAATTGCATATTTATTATGTCAACTAGTACTGATAAAGCATTGTCTGGTAGATTTTCGAAAATATTCAAGGAGATGTCGTCAACTCCTAAAGTTGTTATATCTTTCAAGATAATTTGAGATTGGGTAAAGCAAAACCTTGACTTTTGATCAAACTTGGCGTACTTTTTTTGCTCTTGGCTCTCCTGGGCTTTTCCATTAGGACGATTGGACTTTGGTTTCAATGTCATAACCATATACCCATGATTCGTCACTAGTTAATATGAACCTTTTAAGCAAATCTAGAAAGCCGTTGACGTCATTTGAACATTCATCTTGCCACTGTGGACTTTTTTGTTGACCTATGAAAGAAGTAATCATGAAATGAATTGTTTTGTTTCCACGTATATAATCGTCATATTTCAACCAATTCATAAACATACTAAACAAACATGGCAGAGACTTATGTGGAATGTAATCATATTCTTTAGGTATTCATTTTCATTTCAGTATTTCAAATTAGTTTACAAAGTGTTTTCCAGTATATTTAATAACCATGCATTTGCAACAGTTGTTATCTGAATAAATAACTCATTTTCGTAAGTGGCAGAAAAAAATTCCTTAATTTGTGATTGTCCAAATGAAATGATTTCCCCAACAAAATTTACTATGAGCCACATTCAAAGCAGTGACCACTCGGTATTATAGTTTTCTGCAAAAGTCTAAGCATATTTTCATATGCATTGCCGCTGCAGGAAATGACCTTTCATTACTAAAGTTGATCAACTTAATTATGTACATCTACGCCTCTTTTTCCGTCGGAGGGGCCCCAAAGGCAAGGTTCGATAATAAGTCATTCTGAATAATAGGGATTCCCAAGTTCTGTATTCAGTCATTACCATCAAGGAAACGCATGTTTGTATTGTTGTGGTGCACATTGGTCGATTTAAATTTTTCTCGGAAATTCCTGAACAAATCCATCTGAATAAATATTTTGGAATAGTCACTCAAGCAGATAACGAGCAAATAATGTTTATGCGATTGTTCTGTTGAGGTTTATTTTTACTGGGCTGTGTAAAAAAGATTCAAGAAAATATGACAGTTAATTTTATCAACAGCGAATTTCAGAAAGTTATGATCATTCACTAAAAAATCGAAAAGTTTTTGATGTTACAATCAATTATATGTTATTGATGTGAAATAAAATTATTTAACATCATCTTGTAAAATTTATAGTATGACAAATAATTTCACTGAACTGGTTATAGCTTTCCTTCTGGATCTTCAAGTTTTCATTTCAATTTCAAAAATGTTCAAGTTGCCAAGTTGCGCCATCTCGTGCACGTAAGCCAAACTTTTTGATTCGACCACATAGAAAGAAGTCTGTAAGATGTGGTTTGTACATAAGATAATTTTCCTCCTTAGTGGAGCTATTGGCCAAAAGATGGCGAGATAATGACGAAAACAAAAATTCTTGATAAAAATGAAGGCAACTTGAACATTTTTGAAATTGAAATGAAAACTTGGAGATCCAGAGAAAGAGCTATACTAGTTCAGTGGAATTATTGTCCTACAATGAATTATATGTTATTGGTGTGAGATAAAATTATTCAACATCATCTTGTAAAATTTATAGTAGGACAATAATTTAACTGAAATGGTTATAGCTCTCCCTCTGGATGTCCAAGTTTTCATTTCAATTTTAATAGTGTTCAAGTTGCCTTCATTTTTATCAAGAATTATTGTTTTCGTAATTATTTCGACATCTTTTGGCCAATTGCTTCACTAAGAAATTAAATTATCTTATGTACAAACCACATCTTACAGACTTCTTTCTACATGGTCGAATCGAAAAGTTTGGCTTACGTACACGAAATGGCGCAACTTTGAAAAATAAAATAAATTTCTTATATAAAATTTTTCAGCTTTTATAATGAAAAACTTTGATGAAAATTTGTTTTTCTGCGGTAGACAATAGTTTGAGGATTCTCCACAACAAATTATGAGGCACTATGAACATTTTCATATTTGTTCAATTGAAGAAAGAACGTTAACGCATTTGGTTATTTCGTTGAAAACGCAAAATATTACTTCTAGATACTGTACATAGATAGATGTCGAAGTGCGGATTCCAGAACTGCAATGAATTCCATTTAATTTCGAAAAAAAATCAAATATTTTATTCTTTAGTTGAGTTGAATAAGAAATTTCATTGTTGCGCCATCTATTGGTTAATAGCCCCAACAAACATTCACAACTTGTCTTTTTCCACAAACCATAAGTTACAGGTTTCTTTCAATAAGTTGCAAGAAAAAATTCAGCTTCTCACCACTAGATGATGCTGTCAACTAACATTTATTTCTATTTGGGAGAAGTTAATTTCCGTCGAAATACACAGAGAAAAATCTCTTGACGCAAAATCCAAAAAACTCCAATCGATTCCTTCTTGACTTCTATGAGTTTGAGATTTTTCAGTTTTTCTGAAATGAAAATTTCCAAACGGAAACGTAATATCTACTAGATATTGATTTCAGAATACTTCACCACAAATGTAGGACCTCTTAGATTTCCATTTCTGTTAAATGTCAGTAGGTATATATGTGGGTGAGTATGAACATATTCTCTGATGTGTGTATTTCTATTTATAATGTTGATAATAATTTTTTTATATTCTCAAAGTATATTCAATCTACTTTTTTTTTCAGTTTCAGTTCTGATTTAGTGTTTTTCTTGTTGCTCTGTTCTTACTTAGTTATGTTATAGTTTTGAAATATTGTTTTTTATTCCAACTAAAAACATGTTTGTTTCTTGGGAAAATAAATCGTTATTATTATAATTACAAAGTTATAACAAAAAAAATTATCTCATTTGGGTATTCAAGGAATTCAGAATTCCTTATCCATCAGCAGAATATGTTACAGCTTGGAATGAACGATTCTACTATTACTATGCTCCTTTTTGCACTACTAAAACATTACCGTAATTTGACTGGAAATATTTCCACCAACCTTACACAAATATACTTGAAAACTATATTTCCAAAAGGAATGCCCCTTCTCAACATACCAACTGAAATAAAAACTCCAGCCACCGAACTTCAACATATTTATTTTTGTGCCAAACAAACTGCACAGGACCTTTCATTGAACGAAATCAGTTCTAAGTTCTCATCATGTTAACGTCAATCTCCTGGCCGGTCCTCTTCAACCAATCTGTAACTACCTGAGCGTACTGCGCCATTTCTTCAGTGAACCATCCTGCAGAAAAATTAGGCACCATTACGAAAATTCCCGCTAATACTAACAAAGGCCACAATATGGAGAATACGAACTGGACTAGTTTGGTTACCACCACCCAGGCTCCCACGAAGCACAGGAATCCCAGGATCGCCATCTGCGCATCAGAAGTGAAGAATACTTGAGAAATGGTCTTGGAGAGTCCTTCCATGTCTTGATGTGATGGATTATGGGAATGTTTCGACTGGGATTTTGAGGTTTCGAGTGAATGACACTGTGACTGTCACTGTCATCTCGAACTTTGAGGGACTTGTACAGAGCGGATGATTAAAGCAAAAATAGATTCTACTGAGATTAGAATTTCGCTTTTAAGGGATGATTATTACAATGAATTAGCCAAAATAACTTGTGAATCACTGTTTGGAACCTTTGGTGTAGTAATGAATATTACTGGAGTTTTTTCCCAACACCAAATCGTTATTTTTAATACCTCGTCACGTGTTTCGATCACCAAGTAATCATCTTCAAGAGGAAAGCCAAGAGAACTGTTGAAGAAGGAAAACAGAAATAAATCAGAGAAAACTTTTACAAAAGAATGTATGGCACCCCATAAATTAGAAACAATTATTAAATATATCAAGCGTATTTGAAAAACATTCGTGAGATTATCAATAAACAGAAAACGCCACACGTGTTTCACCATACAATGGCTTCTTTGGGCGTGTCTTTACTAACTAAATTCTACATATTCAATGTTTTATATACCTAATTTTACTATTTGGTCATTCAGTAAATTACCCGAATCATTAAATCTATTGATTTCTAAAGATCAAGTTTCAAACTTTCATCTTCTTAATGTAACTTTTCGTATTCATGATTGCATCTCATGTCCTTCTGCTAAAAGGTGGTGCACAAATGAAATTGGTCTTTCTTTTTACAAAACTACTTCTATGCTCTTCAATTCTTTGGGAAAATGTTCTCCCTGTTTGGCCAATATACAGTTATGGGCAAGAGCCTCAAGTCAGCTTATATACTCCTGATCTATCTGACACACATATATCTATCCAATTAAGGAATGGACAGTGCAGAAGAGTTACATATTTTTATTATTTGTTTCTTAAAAATTGCCACTTTGAAACTTGAAATGACGAGATTAAAGTAGAAATTTCGAGAGAAAAGCTTAGTATAGCAGACAAATTATGCTCTCCAAAAACAGTTTTATGTGGCATTCCTCAAGGATCAATTCTAGGTACACTTCTGCTACTGTTTATATTAATTTATTAGCTTTTTGAGCTTATTCAGAAACATTGAAATTGGATGGGGGATATTTTTTGAGGAAAAACTGTTAAGTTTCCTCCAGTTCAAACATCGAAAGAAAAGCTTAGTATAGCAGACAAATTATGCTCTCCAAAAACAGTTTTGTGTGGTATTCTTCAAGGATCAATTCTAGGTACACTTCTGCTACTGTTTATATTAATTTATTAGCTTTTTGAGCTTATTCAGAAACATTGAAATTGAATGGGGGATATTTTTTGAGGAAAAACTTTTAGGTTTCTTCCAGTTCAAATACCGAAAGAAAGAGTAAAGAATGTGTGAATCATGTGTGAATGTGTGAATTGGAGAGTAGTTATTTCACACACTCATTAACATCTAACATCTGTGTATAATCCAAATTTTTTCAAAAAGAATTTTCAATAATATTTCAATTTTTTTATGTACAGAAGAATCAACAGAAAGCCAAAAAACGTATGTTATAAACCTGTAAGGTAATAAATGAAATAAAGGAAAAAATCTTTTAATACAATCGAAAAAACTCAATTCAGATATCAGACTGAAATTCTGCCACTTGCATTGTTTATATTTTTTCGTCGAACTGTAAAAAATTGTGAAAACATGTTTTCTCGTCTCTGGCTTCCCTCACGTTTGAACACAATTGTCCTATGTAATGTTACATAATGTACAGTACTCCACCAACACTCTTGCCTCAAAACTCCATCAGCCTATCCGAGTCCGTCAAAACTTCATTGGAGTGTTCGGAATCCTCAGGAACTGTATACCGGCTACCAATCAAACATCCCTTGATTTTACAACCGCTTTCGATTTCCGCTCCATCACAAACTATACAATTTTCTAGAGCGACCCTAAAATAAATACGGCGATTGAATTTTCATGAAAAACTATTTCCCAAACTGAGTAAGCTGAATTGATTTTTCAGTAACAGTTGGACTGGAAAGTTTTCTTTATGAAATTTGGTTTAATTTTCTGGATTTTTGGTTTAATTGCCTGGATTCACCACTGAAAATGTGAAATTTTTGGCAATATTCCCCTTTGTCTGCAATTACTATTGCATTTCCAGAACCTTCCTGTAAATAAAATTACTTACTTTTCATTAATTATCACGTTATTCATGACGATGCTGTTGAAAACTCTGCTAAAACTGTTCACTTCCGTATTCGATCCTATAATACTATTTTTGAAAGAAGTTTTCTCGTTCAACTTGGCCCCTTCCCAGATAATACATCGATCATCAACTTGGTTTGAATTAATAACAGCTTTGGGAGACTTCAAAATGAGTTCGCGGTCGTTCGTTATTTTGCTCCATTTATCTATAATCTACAAACAAAAATATAACCATTATAGGATGATTTTTTATACAGATTTGAAGGATTTTATAAAACCGTAGTTCACTGTTCCATATATAGTTATGTATAATAGTTAGCCGTTAATACTTTTTTACAAAGTGATATTAAATAACAAAATAATAATTTCGTCAACATTAATATACTCACTTTGCTGTTAGCCGACCAATAAGCAGGCAAAGTATTCACCCTCACTCCGTAAGCCTCCTTTTGAGCCAAATAGGCATAACAGCGTATCACGTCGCCATGATAAGCCGGCTTCATATCTCCAAAATGATCATTAACAGAAGAAGCTTCTAGAATAGCCAGATTCAATCCGTCTTTTTCAGCGTAAGAAAAAATACTCTCAGTATCTTTGACATTGACTATAGAGCCCTTGGTATCCACTGATTCTGGAGGTTTGGACAGCTGCTTTCGGACGATGTGAGGCAAGAGTTCACCTTTTATCGACGTGAAACTATTCTCGCTTTTTAGGTATTTTATGATCCAGTTTTTCAGGACGTATACGTGAGAATCAACAAGGTTGCTGTTTAATTTAATATTCGTGTGCTTCTTCACGAGGCTATTGGGTAGGGAAAACTGACCTTCAAAGTCACTGGCAGAGGCTAGGAAAATCAACCGGCTGGTTTGTTCATCGATAACGATCAAATCTCTTTCTGAAACATATGAAGTTCAGTGATGAAACTATCAAACTGGAAAGTATTGATAAAATTGCGATTACTTTTGAAAGTGACCTAATGAAAGTTTCTGAGTGGCTAGCAATTCATTAATTGATATTTTTATACAGATTAAGAGAGTATTTACCACAAAAATATTTGAGAATGATCTATGACAGTATGTATTTGAAAATACAGTATTCATATATAGTGTGAGGAACAGTAGTCAATTCTATTGAAAAATATGAGGAATACTTTAGATTGGAAGCTATTATTTCAATGAGGATGAATAAATACATCCGTTAAAATCAATATCAAACATACCTCACTGATTTTTATTCCAAATTCTAGAATCCATAACTTTAATACAAGATAAATGAATGATTCTGATTCACCGTAGAACAAGTCCAATTTTTGTTAAAAAAACTCTTTCTTCAATTATAGTTTTATAGAAGTTTCAAGAACAAAATCAAGACCACTATAAGTTAGTGTAAGTTTGGTCGTAGTATCCACAAATGGAAAATCAACCCTTTGCGACGTAGTGATTGTTCATTCTTATTTATCCTTGTATAAACATGACTTTTATGGAATTATATGAACAATAATAAGTAATGAATCAACATTCTTTCTACAGGAAGCTGGACTGGTCATTGGTTGATTCACAAGTCCTCCTTATTGTTGAATTACACTTCACTTTGCTTTCAGCAATTTCTACTGACTCAGTTGTTGCTAAGACTTCAAGATAATACCTTTGTCTTCGCAGTCAACCATACACCACTAGAGATGTAGCACACGAATCATTTAGAACCAGAAGCCTATATTCTTGTATTAGCCTCTATTCTATTTTAAATTTGAATACCCCTACCTGGTTTATGTTTTGATTTTGGTCCTGGTACAACAACTGGCTCCTTGCTGTGGGGATGTAAGAATAGAGAGGCCACCGATGCATTATGTGCTCGAAAAGCATCCAACACTCCCCTAAAGTTAGTGTCAGTTATAAAATCACAAGATACTACCAATACGTCAGATTTGAGTTTATCGTGGAGCAATCTGAGACTATCTGCCGTTCCCAAATCTTCGTTATCGCTCACGGTTACATACTCTATTCGAATTTCCAAGCCGGTTTTATCCAAACCTTTTTCTATATCCGATTTTTGATTTTCGAGAACCACCAAAATGACATCTGAAATGAAACGAATCTTTCCTAGTCCAGGCTATAATTCTCATTTTGAAGCAAAATTACCAGAAAACCCTGTTGTCTGTAACTGGAATAAAGGATACCAAACCAAAGGTTTAGGTCCCACAGGAATGAGGCATTTAGGTTTTCCATTTGTGATCTCTGACATTCTAGACCCTTTTCCGGCAGCCAAGACCACTGCTTGGAATTCTACTTGAAACGTCATTATGAATATAATGTACCAGTCTAAAGAATGCAAAAAATTATTTGATAAAAGTCAAAACTTAAACATTTACCAATATGTCAAGTTTGAGGTTATACAAAATACATATGATATATGACAAAATGTGACTGAAAATGACAGATGGCGAGAAAATCACAGAATGGTAAAATGCATATTTACATACATAACCTTACTAATGTGTGACCTTACTACGGGATGCACAGAAACATATGAGTGATCTGTGGCACAGATACTCCTGTGATTATGTAAATTTTCAATATCGGAGCCATGGATATTATAATATATTGTTCTTTATCTATATCAAAAGGATTATAAATTTCAGTTTCAACAACTCTGGCTGAAAAATATGCATTAACTCCAGGTTTGCATATTTGACTGGGAGACTGAGATATCATTACGCTTTTTTCACCAGTAAAATATAACATACGTTTCCCGCAGGCTACTGATGGAATATACTGATTCTTATGGTACTGATTTCACAAGAACTATATTTGTCTCAGTTTTAAACTATTTTGAAACCGTGGGTAATTTGCTGAGTGACCAAATAGAATTGAATAACTCCCTGTCATTGAATATTTTTTCAAATGTGGTTACTGGTACATAAGCTCAGCTCATTTCATTCATACAAACTCAGGTACAGATTGTTAGGTAAAACTCAGTACATGAAATTTAGGTAGTCCAAATTGTAAATATAAATCATTGAATATATAGATTTACTAAAATAAAAATCCGAAGAAGCCATTAAACGGCTAAACACGTGTTGCGTTTGTGTAAAACTGTTTAGTGAAAATTTCACAATAAAGTGTTTCTTGAGAACACCAAGTTTAGGTTGGCAATGTGAACTGTCATTATAGCACAACCAGAACCTGACTAACCCAAATGTGGATTGGCCCACCCCAGGTCCTCTTAAGTGTGGCCACATTTGGCTTTAACAACAACTTTCGTTACCAACTGGCCGGATAGCCTTGGTTGCTGAGGCCATTGAATCAAAAAGAAGAAGAGGAACCTGACTAAAAGCAGTAAACAGTAAACAAAATATAGTAAATAACGTTGTATCGAGTAGAGGGAAAGAATTTTCAATTCAACAAACGAATATGGGTCGCAGGAAATCAAAAAGGAAGCCAGCCCCAAGGAAGAAAGCTATTGAACCGTTGGACACTCAATTCAACTGTCCCTTTTGTAATCACGAAAAATCTTGTGAAGTTAAAATGTAAGTAGAATTGTTAAACAAATTTCCAATGTGGTATAATGCTTGATGCTCATTCTATGTGATGTTCAGGTTTGTTGATTTGTACTTGAACAAAATATTTTTTTCAGGGATAAAGGTCGGAACACAGCCCGAATTACCTGCAGAGTCTGCCTGGAGGATTTTCAGACAACCGTCAATTTTCTGTCGGAACCTGTCGATGTTTATAATGACTGGATAGATGCATGCGAAAGTGCAAACTAGTTCTCAAGATTCCTTCTTAGTTCTAAGACTCTAGTTTTAGCCGTACGTTATGTCGCAACTTGTTCAACAATTCAACTTCTCAAGACTTTGAACTGCTGCACTATCCACCTTCTTGACACTAACAATTTATGTTATCACCTCTTTAGTAAATACTTAGATTGATTGTATCCTTTATTTTTAGGTATATGGATTGAAGTCGCAATGTATATCTCTATTATTTTATGTACAAAATATAGTTTATAGTTGGAATTCTTTTTTTTCTGAAAATATATTTGAATAAAGTATTTCAATGGAGGAAAGTCCTCAAACTCCTTTTTTGAATGTTCTGCAGAGTTTTCATTGTTAGTATACAAATACAGGAGAGACAAAAAAGTTAACAAGGAATTGGTATTCAGAGGTAGAATGTTTCAAGAACATTTAGGAACTTGGTATTCCAAGTCACAGATGGCGCAATAAGACTTCGTCAACGATTTTCTTTCCTAGATTTGAATGGGTATTTCCAACTTATCTAGATATCAAATTATCATTAAACAACAAATGGGGAAAACTTCCAAATATAAGGCAAGCACACTCTGGTTACAATTTTTGTTGTTTAAATCTACTACAAACATTAAAGCCAATTTTCATATGCCACTTTCTTATTTTCATTCTATGCTAGAGCGAAAATCAAAAGTTTTTACGCCAAAGAAATAAAAAAATTCAAATCTAGTAAGATTTTACTGTTTCCAATTCTGATTAAAATGCAACATGGACCATCATACTGATAGTGGGATGACCGTTTTGGTGAAAACTACGTGTATTATACAGGCAGTTTTCACGAGGTACTCCTTTTACATTACAATTTTTTGTCAGACATCAAAATCGAGTGAAAACAATGGTGGTAATGTCACTAACATTTGATGTGAACCTGGCAACTCTGTCAAACATAGTGCGTTCCACTAAGCGCAAGTGTGCTTCAAAATGTACAGTGTAAAAGGTGATAGAAAATCATGTAAATACATACTAAGAATTCACGATTCACGAGAGTTTCACTCTCCATCTGAACTGGATGAAGTAGTTTCTGGAGAACTATTGCAAGGCATCTACCAATCTCCAATTGTCGTATAAGACATTTAAATTACATTCAAACTCAATTTGTTTAATAATTTATACGTATTTTCAATATAAATAAAGCTAGCTTCACTAGCTAGGTTTACGTAATCTCATTGAAACTTCTTCATTTTTTCAACCTCGCCATTTGTAATGTTTACATGAACGCCCTTCTTATTCTTCAACTTTCAGCCCTTCATTTGAAAGTTGTGGTTATTGAAAAAAGTAAGGATATTGAAATAACGCATAACTTTGGTTTAACTTGATGTAAACAATTTACTTTATCGAATCGAAACTCAGATATGGCATTTGCCTATGGGGCAATGCACCAGGTGCGAAAGATATTTTCATTGTACAAAAACGAATTTGGAGATGAATAGCGGAAGTTTCTAACAGAGAATCGTGTGGAGCTATTTTCAAAACATTTCGTGTTTTAACGCTTCCATGTCTCTTCATTCTTAGAACATGTGTCCATGTTTTTGAAAATAAGAATACTTATTCGCAATTCGGATATTCATGGTTATGGAACAAGAAAAATAAAACATTTTCATGTAAATTTAGCAAAAAGAAAAATAAAATTATGTGCTCCTGATCATTTTGCTTTCAAAATATACAACAATCTCTCAGAAGAATTGAAGTATATAAATAAATTATCTTCATTAAAACAAAAAAGGAATTTTAACCAAAAAGTAGATCGAAGTATCGAAACTTCTTGCAACTGGCGATTTTACGACTTTAGGAGACTGTAAAAACGTCCTGGCTTCGGTTAAATAGCCGAATCGCTCTCAAAAAACTCGAATAAAACTCACGCAAACCGCAGCAATCTGCACGGCGAACGACATTCCGAAAGGAAAATCAAAAATGAACACACCCATCAAACTCATTTCTACGTACCGCCGGCTTTTATTGAGAAAAAACCGCGGCCTGAATTCCCGAAAACCTGCCACGCGATTAGCCTGGTCAAAATAAGACATTTCGATTTACAATGATTCGCATAGAGCTCGGTTTCATATATGCTAGTGAATTTATTGCGGATCACAAGTTTTTTTCATTTCCTTTGAAGTCCTGAAGCAAGCCATGATGAGAAAGAAGGGCAACTTTGTTGAAAGTCCTATTTTCAGAAAGTGAGGTTGACATAAATATGAAATTGAACAGAACTTACTATAAACCTATAAAAAGGTTAGGTTTAAACTACGATTGGAGTTCAAACTATGGATGACAAGTGGCATATTTTATAGGTTTCGATCATTTAGAATTTTTGGATTAACCATAGAACTTACAGTTTGTGTACCGAATACAGTACAGTTGCAAACAATAGAGTGAGCTTTTGAACGATTACTCGCGACACGCGACAGGTCTAATACATTCTTTCAAGTTGGAATCAGACAACCAATGTTGAGAAAAAGTTTGTTTTCGAGACTTTTTGTATTTTTTGGACATGTCCCGTTTCCGTCAATTTCAACTGCGGTAGCTCTTTCCTCGAGCTATTATCAGATGAACTATTTTTACTTCCACTGTAATTTGTTCCATATAATCTATTATCCTCGAGACTTTTAGTTTCAAAATATTGGAGGTTATATGAATAGAAATATTAAAAAATCTTCTTCTTCACCTTTATCACGTAATGGTCTCAGCTACTAAGTCTATAACGTATGACTGTGCATTCAATTGTTAGCTGTCAGCTTCGAGTACTGTCCACTGCCTCTTCTTCGTCCATATTTTGTTCAATATTGGTTATTTTTAAGAAATTCCGCTACTTTATGATCGATTCGCTACGCCGCTACCGTCGAGTAACTTCCGCTATGATAGCGGAATTCCGTTACGGTTGACAACACTGGGATGGAACAGTAGCACAGAATTTGAAATTACATCCGATATTCCGTGACAGTAGTTGAAGATGATTTCTAATGAATATTACTGGCCACAACCTGTGACATGGCAAAGATTGATGTAGGCACATTTTATTGATGTAGGATATATTGCAGCAGGTGGTTTGTTAACTTTTCAGTGCTCAATAGTGGAAAAACTCATATTTTCACATTTTTACGTTTTGTGGTGGAAGAAACTACAAATTTCTTGTTTTTTTATTATGTATGAGAAATACTAACCAATACAACTGACTGTAGTGTGCAAGTTCACTATCACAAATATTCTGAATTTTCAGGTAAACAAATTACTACCGATGAAGGTAAGGTAAATAAATGCCTAAAATTTCTAATATGTTGTTACGAAAAAGTTATGAAAGTTTTATTACTCAAGTTCCTTGAGGTTCTGAAATATTAATATTGAATTGATGTGTGGGACTAAGCATGAATTTAAAATATTCAAATAGTTTATCCCAGTGTTTTGGTGTATTTTCCAAAAGTTAGGTGTTATGATTGATGATTTTGTTGAAATATTCGACAAACTTCTGTCAGGCGAGAAAGAAGTCATTATGAATGTAGTAGAAGTTCCAAGAATGCCTCGAATATTCATCCAATTGTTCATAAACCTTCGAGAACCATTTAAAAATTTAGCAATTTAGCTTGTTAAATTCTATTTAGAACCATGGTTGCCAGAATGGTAATTTGCAGTTTCAATGCAAATTTTTGCACGCTTACCACTATTTTTCACCTAATTTATTTGGACTAAAACGACATATGCCCAAAAGCGCCGCTTGCACCTTCAGTTCAACTCCGAGCCGCGACCCGAAAACAACTCCCACACAGAGCCGTACTTAGAGTTGGTAAAACTTCACGAGAAAACTTCGAACGAACTTTCGACCACCGTTTTCGAAAAGTCTGTCAATTTTTCCCGGATTTTCGAAATGGGCGTTAGCGCAGCAATCTTCGGGGGTGTCTTTATGGTAGTTTTGGGGGCCGCGGTCGCCTTGCAGTGCTACCAGTGTGGGATGTACAACGACGGAGTTGGGTCCATAACTCCTTGTCTGAATAAAACTCACATGAAGTTGATCGACTGCCCAAAGCCGGAGCACAACTACTGCATTGTAAGTTTTTCGGGGTTCCTCGGGGTTCGGTATTAGGGCCCTTCTGTTTTGTTTGTATATAGAAAAACAATTGCATAAGTATTATTTGAATATTGTTGATCATGAGTTATTTCTTGTGGAGCAAATAAAAGTTTGGTAAATTTTCGTTTTGAGGGCACCCGGCGATTTTGAAAAAAATTTTGAGTATATTTGCGTATTTTGATGCGTAGATTACGAATCCGAAAGATGAAAACGGCGCTCTCCCTAATTTACAAAGTTACGGCCCTTCAAAATTCAGAAAAGGTCAACTTCTCAGCCTTCTTTTTCACAAAATAAACTATTTAAAATCACAAGCATTTATTCACTAGGTCACCGTTACACCATATTCCTTCTTCTTTGACACTTTTCACTTCAATAATCAACATTTTTCCAATAAAAATGGTAAAAAATGTACGGAGCTGCTTTTTGGTTACATATCTCTATATTTTACGTTTTTAAGGTTAATGACATAGTTGGTATGACTGATGCTGTTAATATTCCTAAAGTAATTAAAATGTTTTTTGCTTCACTTGCGTATTTAGAAAGTAAATTAGTTTTTAGTGGTGTATCAAGATAAGATGGATTTAAGAAGTAAACAGCAGCTTATTCCGCAAAATAATCCTAGTGAGTATGTAAACGTAAATTTTGAAATTATAATTTTTTAATCAATTTTATAGGTGATGCGTTATGGTAGATGCAAAATGTGGTTGGACATCAAAGTGAATGGCCAAACTGTATTATTGAGGTTTTATCGACAAAAACATTCAAATATGTCGAAAGTTAAAATTTGCTCGTTTTTCTTTCTAAACGGGAACAGAGAGCCGATGTTTTTATATAATTTTTTAGTCAGGATCACGTCAAACTAAAATTTCAAATCTACGAATTTGAAATAGTTGGCGGCGGTAAATCCCAACCGCTTTTTTTTGAAATGTCACTAGTAACTAACCTAGAAATAGAAGAATTTTACCAGAAGAAGCATTCGTTTTTAAATTAAGTTTTTTGTAAGAAAAATGTGAAGTGAAAAGTGTAAAAGAAGGGGGAATAAGGTGTAAAGGTGACCTAGTGAATAAATGCTTGTGTTTTTAAATAGTTTATTTTGTCAAAAAGAAGGCTGAAAAGTTGCCCTTTTCTGAACTTTCATTTGAAGGGCCACAAG